ATTGTATAGTCGGAGTAACCATTAGCCCTAAGAGCTTGGTGTACGTGCTTGAGTTCACTGCCTATGTGTTCCTGGTCAGATATGCATTGGGCTCTATGGTACAGAGTCTTGATAAGAGAATTCTTCTGTGATGGATGGTGGTGTGAATCGGGTTTCAGATAAGCAGAGTCACAGCAGTGCCACTTCACTTCCTTCTCCATGATGCTTTTTTTGTGGGCTAAGGAATTTCCGCTTCCAAAAAAAAACCCAAAAATACTATGTAAATAAATATGATAGGCTCAATACATTAACACTATCACGGTTATTTATTGATTATTCATTCGTTAAATATTACCGATCAATGTTGCCAAGCCAATATTCAATTCACCATACCTCACGGCACAGCGAATGTCGTGTCCAGTGACCGAAATCAAAGGAACTATTTCATTCAGCCTCGTTGTCAACCACCTGTTGACAGCTGATGGAAGAGACATCTATATCGGTACTTCTTATGTAACACGTCTGCTTTACGCAACATTTTTTGCTACTCATAACAGCTTGCTAGCAAGATTGCTTTCCTTGCATGTTTCTCAGCGTGGGGATGCTCTTGATTATTTACTGTATAATTCGCCCTCAATTGATACTGTTTAACATATCCTACCTATTCCCTTTGCCCATCTAATATCCAATTCGTAATAACTCATCTAAAATGCCCTGAATCTTATGAACTGTCTCTGCTGTTTGTCTCATTTGCATTGGCTAATTTTCTATATCGTGTATCTTACACGTGCATGTCTTATTTATTTGTATTGTGTAATATGGCTTGATTCGTAACCTCTGTCTGCTCGATTGTAGTGTTTCATTTGTCACGTCTCGTTTTTATGGTCTGTGTATTTTTAAAGGTTATTTTCGAAGTAGAAACTACTCAGTCGCACCAAACGAGTTATTGGGAATACAGTAGACTGACACTCTGGGACTGTGGAGCCTAAACGTTTGGATAAATTACTGCATTAATCTTCTCTTAGTGGCTGTCTGGTGTACCATCTCCAAAGGGGGTACGGACAGGGATTGTAAAGTAAAGTTAGGGATGATTCTCAGTAGATTATGTGCTGGTCAGGGAATGAGGACAAGATATTAGGCTGGGAGGTGTACACATCAAACACACTGGTTGGGAACGACTGGTATATCAGATTAATCTAATAAAACAGTTATGGCTTAACTGTTTCACTAAATGCACTACATTTTTCGTCATAGTTTTAGGAATTCTGATGACAAACTTTAGTCATAATTAAAATTCATTACCATTTGACTTCCATTGTAGTTGAAGCGGGCTTTTTTTCTTTGCAATTCTATTTCAATTCGTGGATTCAATTTGATACTGTAGGCGGGATGGCAGAGTTTTAACACTTGTGCCTCACAGTTTAGATGTTCTTTGTTCGATTTCTGACCTGCTCCTGGATGGGTTTCCTATGGGTTCTCTGTCTTTCTTCTTTCACAATTTATGTGTAAATGTTTCTGGTGTGGCCGAACATTCCAATGTTGAAAATGTATCTGCAAAATAACTCAATTGAGATTACACAGAGCAGTTAAATCGTCCCCTACTGTGAAACTTAGAGAGGCCCTTTCGAAAGTGTATCTTGAGAGTCAGTAAGGATTTTCTGGGTACACCAACAGAATATAAATACGCGAAATCCTTACCCAACGAGGAGTTATCGAACGCTTGTTTTAGCCCAACACGCGTTAACTAATGAGGTCTCTTGGGAGGAGCACGAGGGTTATGTTTTGGCTATTCTTGTTTTAACGCTGCTTAAGATGATCATTTTTGCAACTAAAAGTAGTGCCATTAGAGTGTTGCTCGTTGGAACAAATTAAGCTGTATTGAAATCGCTCGAATAAGCAGAGACAGAATGCTCGTTAAGTGAGATACTGCTGTATAGATGTACAAATTGCACAAGAACATACATTCCTGCCAATTTTTTGACACAAAATGCACGCCTGGGGCAAAACAGCAAAAGGCCAAAAACAACATCAAGAGTCCAAGACAACACCATGACAAGTACAAGAGTTATACACCAAAACAACAACAGTCCCAGACAACTCCAAGACAACAGCAACAACAGTCCCTCACCAAGACAACAACAACAATCTCAGATCTCTCCCGGATATGTACAACAACAGTCTCAGAACACACCAAGATAATCACATCCCTCATTGAATTTTACATCTACATTAAAATATTGCTACACGGTGGGTAAGGAGCGATGTTACACAACATATTTATAAATATGGCTGGTGTATCTGGCACTACTAATTTTCTGCTTCAGAATATATTTTTAATGGAAGGTTTACGATGTTTGGCGCGGAAACAAGGTTCCATAATGTTGGAAGAACCTTTTTTGATAATACACCACTCATTGATTCACTCCACCTCGTCATCATGAAAAAGAAAGAGAGGTTCAAGTTTGAAAAATATATATGTATGATAGATTAAAAATTCATAAATTCTGTAAATATGCCAAACTATTTACATAAACTATTCTGACGTGAGTGATGCGAAGCGATGTATAATTTAGGCTGTGGCTGGATCACGTGGCCTGTGCAACAGTAGTATAAATGACAGTGTTCTGGTGATAGAAAAGCATGCTCTGGGAAGAGAACCTTAAGGTGAGTGTGTGGGTTACTCCTGACTGGTCTCATTATGAACAATTCAGGTGGTGTGTGTGGTGGACAGGTGACTCCCAGGTAAGTGCCTCTGAGCTGGCACCCCTTGAGAACCTGCCTGCTTGGTGTGATGTTGGCAAAACAAGATGCTATCGTATTTCTGTGTTTATTTTCACTACAAATCCGTTCTGTAAGGTACTGTCACAAATCAGTGAAAAAACAACGTATAACAGCATCAGCAGCAAGCAACTCCTAAAAATATAAAGATGTGAATTCAATTGACAATCATACAACGTTGGTGTAAATGTTCAGGAAAAAAACTTTACATACAAATGCATTGATGACGTTTGTCTGTCTAAAAGTGACGTCGATTGCGCAATACTCGTGCCTCCCCTCTCACTTTGCTCTCTTCCTGTCTCCCTCCTCTCTCTCTCTCTTTGATATCCACACTGCATCACATGAATAAGAAAAACACGACTCTTGATGTCCTGAGTCAATCGTCCACCCTTTATTTATCCAATGCATGTTTTTTTTGTAAGAGTCCAGAACATGGCCATCACAGAGGGAGATACCAATTACGAACGTGTGTCGAACCCGGTGCAATAAATCGTAAAATGGGGACCCGTCTGGATGCCCTTGGACTCGCTGACCTACCACAGAGGCAACGATCAGGAGCTGCAGATTAACTGGGAAGGGGAAGAAGAAGGACAAGGGGGAGGAAGGGGAATAATTTATCCAAACTAGACAGGAAACAAAGTAACATAAGCGTGATGTCTGGGCTTATCCTTCTTATTTTCCCCTAGGAGCAACGGTGCCTATTGCAATGTTTCAGTGTCTGGAGTTCATCCCCTTGCCCCGCTCCCTACTTTTCTGGTTATTCACGCAGGGTCAATAAAAATGGGGACCACATTGCCTCTTACTCTTATTATATCCCTGGTAGATCCTGGTTAAGGAGCTGATTCCCGCCAAGGCACGGATAGTTCTGTGCCAGAGTCCCCAAGAGAGGGTTCTTGTTTCCAATTTGCTAGTATTGTCTTTCTTGCTACAATATAGCCGGTTTTCAGTAAGGCATATTGGCGTACCGATAGCCCTTTTGGTTTCATGCCCCGCAAAGTTTAGTCCACTGAGGGGCTCAGCTCTGTGCCAAGTTCCGATTAAAATAATCCGTTAAATTCTCGTAAAATTCTAAAATATCTGGGCACGTCCAGAAGGCATTCAGTTACATCTGTACCGTGCATTGTGGTATCTAGGGCAATTAGGAGAGGAATGTGTGAATTTGAACTAAATTATGTTTAGAGGAAGGGACCTGCGGTCTGCTGTCAGAGCCCAACCATATTTGAGTCCATTTCTGGTGAGGAATGTCCTGTCCCAGCAGCCTTTCCCCCTCAGCTTTCTAGTTTTGGCTCTAACCCGGTCTCAATCTCCTGCACAAACTTTTCATTTCCTTTTTCCACCAGACCATCCAAGATTGGGTGAGTGATGTGGTAAAAGGTTTTGTTTGTAGCTTTGGATGGTGTCCCTGATATTTTGGTAACCTTATTTGGAAGGTCCCCCACCCTTTCCAAGCCTATCTCTCTCCAGCCAGGCCAGTTAGCCCTTGTGCATCCTATTGTTAGTGATTGGTTGCCCCACAGAGGCGATTGTCTACATATGAAGGAGTGGAATGAGATTCACCTGTGGTTGCATTTCCCCAATGTGTTTAAGGAGTGGAATGAGAATCACCTGTGGTTGCATTTCCCCAATGTGTTAGAAACCGTGAATAATGGTTTCAGGACCCGCGATCTATATTTGATAGGAGCTTAGGTAACGGCAGCAAATAACCAGCAGCTCACCGAGCCTTCTCCCAGTTTTTCCATGTCCTATACTTTTTCTTGTTGATCTATTGAATAAAGTTCTGAAAGCGATAGCTTTGTTCTATTTTAGGAAATCTGAAAAGGGTCAGGCCCCGATGTCTCTTAAGTAACGTAAGGGAATGAAAATCTATTTGCGCTAATTTGTGATTCCATATGGATGAGGCTATGCTTGAATCAAACATCTTAAAGAAAGCTTTTGTAATACAGGAGGGGCTATTCGTAGATGTACTGTATAGGTAACCGTGTACAGTACTGTTCACTGCAGGAAGTTAAAATCGTGAGCGGCTGAACCTCACTGTCTATCCACTGGAATCTAGGAACACCACGTGGCCTGGGTTACCACGATGGGCCACTTGGGCAATAAGATGGGGACAAGATGGCGCATTGTGTACTTTCATGGCAACATAATCGCGAGCAGTAAATTTACCATGCATACAGGAATCTCTAGATCAACTGCGAATAGTCGAGCCACAGGGGCACAATCGGCGAACAGTACCTCAATAAATTTGGCCCAAAACAGTAAAACCTCGAGGGAAGGATTTGCTGTACTGTGTTGTGTCAACTTTTATTTCAGAGAAGCTGTATTTCTCTTGCACACAAGGCTCTCTTAACCTCAAACAGTTATTCTTGTAAATTATCTAGCCTTGTCACTGTCTGCTCTTCTTTCATTGTCTTTAGCTGTAAGTTAGCCATTACGAGTTAATAATCTGATCCAATGTGTGTTTTTTTAGAATTTACCAACATGATGATGTACTGCTTTTTCACCGTTTTTTCGCAATAGTGTTGTCGATAACATCTGAGTCGACATGCAAATTTAGAAGTGCATAACTATTACAAATGTGTCAATAAAATGTGGTTTTGAAAGTCAAACTGTGAATATCACGATGTTTTAAATTTCTTTCATAATTCAAACAAATCTGTATCTTGTAATGTGCAGGAAGAGAGGAGAAAATGCCTTATGCATTGGCCTTACACACCTGTGGAGGACAAGGAGGAACAGCCTTCAGTTTTGATGGGTGGAGAAATGGAGCAACGCTGGAAAAAATCTGGGTGTGGGTTGGAGGGTGGCAGATCAAGTGCGTGAAGGCCTGGCTGACGGACGGAAGGACTGCACAGTACGGCAGTCCCTCGGGATCTCACAAAGAGTTTGTGTTCCAGCCCGGGGAGCTGTTTTCGTCCCTCTCACTGTGGGGGAATGGGGCTGGCTCACGCCTGGGCGCCTTCAAGTTCAGGACAACCAAAGGCAGGGAATTCTTCGTGAAGATGACAGACTGGGGCCTAAAGACCGAGTACCCAGTCGACGTCCGCTCTGGAATCTGCCTTGGAATTCAGGGCAAAGGCGGTTCAGACATCGACAGCATGGGCTTCCTCTTCATCAATTCGGTTAAAAGTTCAGAATTGATCAACGTGACATACCCTACACTGCACAGGGAGCTTCCAAAAGTCCAGATGGAAGAGATCAAATCACTCAGTTACAAGAACACTGGTTCTGTCCCCCAAACCTATAAAATTGAAACCTCCAAGACCGTGACCAAAACCTCCTCCTGGTCGATCACAAACAAGCTGGAGGCAACCGTGAGCATCAGCGTCTCAGCCGGCGTTCCGGATGTCGTGGAGGTTGAATATGGCTTTAGTTTTACCGTTAGCACCGAGAGTACGCACGCCGTGGAGAATTCAGAATCGAAAACCGAGCTCCTCTCATTCGACGTCACGGTTCCTCCACGCAAGACCACTGCGATCGACATCAATATCGGTCGCGCGGAAATCGACCTCCCGTACAAGGGTACGGTGCGCATGTCCTTATTGAACGGCGCCACCTACGACATCCCTATGGAGGGTGTCTACAAGGGCCTCGCCTACACCAAGGCGACTGTAGTAACAAACGAAAAGTGAAACGGCATCGGAAAAGCACGCAGGTGCTGCGCTTTACTAGCTGCATGCTGCATTCAACGCTGCCTATCTTTATTTAATAGTTTATTGAACCCTGCGGTATAAAATATGATGCAATACATATGCCATTTGGGAGAGTTCAGTTGGTGCAATTAAGGAACCTTTGAATCGGTGAAAAAATAATTAACACGGAGATGCAGTTATTTCAACGAATTTTTCTCGCACATACCGTATATAATTGAGTCTGTTCGCTCAGAAATCACAATGGAATGATCATAATCTGTCTTTATCCTGGAGGAATCCGACGATAAATTAATCTCTTTTTTACAGATGTCCAGTAGGGGCGAGTCAGCAATTTACAACAACAAACAATACACAACACGATAGGAGGAAAAAGTAGATCAATGGTAAGCCAGTAGCTAAAACTTATATAAAGAAATAAGAATAAAGTATATAAGTACAAATAGCATAAGTACATTTAAACGTCAGTTTTGCCATTTACTTACGTGAGAATGAGCCCCAACTAGCAAAAGCAAATGGAAATAAACTTCCTGCAGTGGTTTGGGCAATGTAACAAGACAATACACACTGGCATAGGCAACGTTGATCGGTAGAGTGCAAATCTGGAGGGGTTCAAAACATCAAAGTGCAAGTTGGATGAACGACATAAATGACTGGAAGGAGGTGAAAGAGGTGATGCTTTATGGGCTTCAGAAATGAGAAGGTGAAGAGTGAAAACCCAAATGAAGCACACAGCTAAGGACATTCTCCACGGCAAATCATACAAACATATATCTTGACAATACAGTTTCTGCATGCTGCCACGAACAGAATAATCGATGGACTTGACCAACATTTCTACTAAAATTATAGAGAGAAGACATCCACGTGTGAATGATACCAAACAAAACGATGACGGAAAGATAAAGATTCCTCAAACAATCAACCAATCTTCATTTGTGTTGGGACACCTATTTTCAGAAACGCTCATATTTGTTTTCCATTTCACACTACAATGAATATACAAATAATGATAACTGGCCTCGAATGACCAACAATTTCTCCAAAGGTGACACCAGAAAATAAAAGAACTTCTCTTGTAGTACTATCATTTCCATCAGCACCACCATCTGGATTAATGCATTTAGATTACAATTGCATGCTCTTTAATTATAGGGAATTGCATGCAACTAGTCAGTTGCATGTTATGCAATGCTTTGGGCTTGTGATGCAAAATAAAATATCTTTAAAAATTCATTGGATTGTGTTTGCATTCAGTGTCATCATTATCACATCCACAACCCCTTTGAGCCAGCATCACTGAAAACCTTTGTTCGAATCCAGGCATTCGCCTGTAATGAAACTGCACAGTCAAGTGTGGTGAGTTGATGGTCTCAACCCGGTCACGAATGACTGCACGAAGATAACCCCTTCCATCACAGTTATCAAAACGTAAGCTAGTATGTGTGCAGATAACACGTAGCAGAAGTGAGATCTTGGTTTTTAGATATTATTTCAATCGCGCATGATAAACCTATATTCTCGATTCTCGCAAGAGAGATATGGCCACATCGCTCAGAGGTCTGAGTGCTGGCCTAATTTCGAATCCAGAACCTTAGCAGTGCCAGCTCATCAATCAAACCTCCAAATGTGTGTGTGTGTGTGTTAGTCCATGTGTGTGTTAGTCCATATGTGTGTGTAAGTTCATATGTGTGTATGTAAGTCAATGTGTTTGTGTTTGAGTCGAGTTGTCTGTGTGTTTGAGTCCATATGTGTGCGTGTAGGTCCATACGTGTGTTTAAGTCCATATGTGTGTCTGTCTTTTTCTTATCCACCCACTCACCCACCCACTCACCCACCCACTCACCTACCCACTCACTCACCCACCCACCTTTGCTTCCTAACGACTGCTACTGAGAGTCCCAAACCAAACCCCACCCCCCACCCCCGGGAAATCAGAGCCCTCCCCAGCCCCACCCCGCCACAAAAGAGCCTCACTGCTACCCCCACCTAACAAAATGGAATGGGTTACGTCGCTTGCACCAGCCTGCCCAAGCCCCTCGACTCACTAAATTTCGGTAATCTTATAGTCTGTCCGGTGGATCTGTTGTTACATTTATGCCTTTGGAAATAATAACTGTTTGATTGTCTTTTTATATGAATACCGTTGCATGTAATCAATCGCCTGTGATAATGTGCTGCCCATTTCAAGCATAATGATCGTTCATATTATAATGTATAAGCTTTTGTGTAGCATAGCATTTGCATGCCCTGACTCTCTCTCTCTCACTAACAGCAATCGCTTTATGCGGGGTGCATGTGTTATCAAAGTGAAATCGTACAGTCGTTGATGATACTGTCTTGATACCGTATGGATACCGTGTTGAAGTTCCGAGATTGAGAGTTCACATACATATTATAGTTAAGGTTTAATTAGAAAATAAATTGATTAATACAGAAGTGGTCGTGTGATTCTTTCCAGAAATGTTTACATAAGATCTGCATCCTGCGACGAGATAGGAACACGGGAACCTAAACTATAAACACACCAATACACACTCATTAAACTAAAGCGAACGAAATGAACATGGGACCTAAAATATGAACACTCGGGGAGTGTTAAAGCGAGAATCATTGTATTATGCTGATCAATAATACGAAGTTAGACAACGAGACCGAATTGACACTAGCGTAACTGCACACGATTGATTGCGTTATCCTGATTGATAACCCCACCTCGTCAAAAAGGGGCCTGATTATCATAAAGGCTATCATTAACACAACCACACCCACTCGTATAAATTAATACGATTACCTCTCTAATTAGCATAGTTACACGCATAATTACACGAATTAGCATAATTTCGGATTAATTATGCAAATTTCGAATTTCATTTAATTTTAATTATTTTTCATCAATTTTCACACGCCCACATATACAACACAGCCAAACACTCTAGAGACGTGTTTCAACAGGCCCATAGAGACCCAAACATACACACAGAGACCCATACCCAAAGACTCATTCTCATAGAGACCCACATAGACCAACAGAGACCCATACTCATAGAGTCCCACACATAAATATAGAAACCCATACACATAGAGACCCATAAAGACCTACAGAAACCCATACTCATAGAGACCCATACAGACCCACAGAGACCCATACTCATAGAGACCTGTACACACCCACAGATACCCATACTCATAGAGACCCATCCAGTCCCACAGAGATCCATACTCATAGAGACACACACAGGCATAGAGAGACCCATACTCATAGAGACCCACACAGACATAGAGAGACCCAAACTAAACCTAAGCTATGTTTTAATTTACTAGTTGTAAGGCCCCACTCTGTGCCACTGTGCAGCTCTTTTGTCACAGATGCGACCTGGCCATTACAAATGATAGCTCAACGAAGTGGGCTGATATCATCATCATCACGGGGAATTGTTACAGCAGCGGTCAAATACTCTAAACGCTTGGTGATGTTGATTCTGAACGTGGAGGGAAAAACCGGAGGACCTGGAGAAAAATCCACGTGACCACCACGGGGAGAGAGAGACCCAAACTCCAAATATACAGCAGGTGTCGGGGTGGGGATCGAACCCACGACGACTGTATACCAGACGAGGTAGTTAACATATCCTACCAACCGCGGCCTACCATCAACCTGCTACCTCCATCTGGAAGGAGGAGGTGGCAGAGTCACAGTAGATGGACGGAGCCAGCACGTTGACCCTACGATCAACCGTGGCCGGGCTGCCTCTTCGGTACGAGTGTCCACCTCGCCCCGGATCGTCTTCGCTGAGGGTACAGTGACCCCACCACCACCGCTACCACCACCTCCCTCCAGATGGACTGAGCCACCGCATTGACCCCGCGATCAGCAGTAGCTGGACTGCCTCCGCGCCAGCTAACCGAGCGCCCCGACGAGAGGGCGCGACCACCGCGCCCGCTTCGCTCACCGGCTTGATGTCCGCGTGGACAATGCCAAGCCCCTTGGCGTACAACAGGAAGTCGAGGATGGCCCTGGTGTACTCCCTCAACCGCCTCACTCAGATTCGCCCGATGCTCCCTTTGCTTATGACGCCGTAGAGGCTCTTCCTGGCACCACAACGACAACGACAATGACGTTAAAACCCTTTTCCCGTTCCGATGACGTCCACGACCCAGACTCCAAACCGACTGTGCCACTTGGTTAGTTTTGGGGGGTGGGGTCATGAAACGCCTCGTCGCTCCACGGTATTCATCCACGGCCTCGCCGTGCCGCATTAGCGCCGAGGGAACTAACGCGCACAAAACATTGCCGCGCGTGGAATATTTTATGATAATAATTTCATTATTATGATTTTATTATAATTTCACCATGATTATGTTATTATTACAATTTCTATTTTATTATTTCATTACTATCATTTTATTACTATCATATCACAATTTAATAATAAATGTATTATTTTTAATGATTACCTTATTATCAACATTTCTTAAATTTAAAGTTTGTTGCATGTTGGCAAATATGCTAAACATTTCGAACAGACACACATTCACAAATTTCCCTTTTATATATATACATAGATTCTCATGAAAAAATCGAATGTGTGATTTATGGGGAGCGTTTCCGTGAGTCGCGTCTTCCGCAACCCGGGGGACTTCCTGCGTCTGCTTTGTCGCCACGGTGTTCTGTAGTTATCGATAACGCAGCGGTTCTCCGCGCTCAGCTGCTTGACCTACGGGGCCACGTGGGCGCGTGCTGCTCCACTTCCCAGAGCTTTGGAGACTCGGTTGCCAAACAAATTGTGATTGTAAAATTGTCAGCTTAATTATTGAATAAATTAATTATAAAAATAGCAATTAAATAAGTTATGTATTCAATGAAGTTAATTTATTTAACGAGGCGAGACATCTTTTGATGAATTGTTAACTATATTTAAACTTTGAATTTTGATTTAAAGCTTTCGTGACTGCAGTAATTCATATTCTTAGTTTTTTCGGTAAAGTCACGTTGAAGAGAAACAACAAAATAACAAAATATATATAAAACAATAAAAAATTCTCACGACGTTTCGACCATAACTCAAACGGTCATCATCAGGTGTGTCGGTTTGCATAAATTTATTTTGAAATCGGCATATTTATTTATTTATATATATAAAAATAACGTTTGCGTCACGCGCAACGATTGGCTGTTTGCCAGGACTAGTCCATCTATTTTTTTGAAAAGAGGAGGGGGGAGACGAAATTTGTTTTTATGTATGCTGTCTGAAAGCCACTGTAAGCGTGAACAATCAATCAAGAACTGAAATGATTTATCAAATCTTTCCAATGATTGCTAAGATAGAATCCATCTTCTCGGTTGAAATTGTCTCTGTGTTTGTATATGTGGATAGCCTCATGAACGAATCTCTCATGGAAGCCAGATGGCTTACAAAGAACCTCCGTCTTGGAAAAGTCAATGGCATGTGAGCCTACTGAATTAGAACAATGATCTGCTACGGCCGAGGTGTTGGTCCTACCGTGTTTAAGGTCTGCTTTATGTTCACGAATGCGGTCCGAGATATGGCGTTTGGTTTCTCCAATGTAACTACTACCACAGAGGCAACTTAGTTTGTAGACACCAGGGTATTGTATGTCCGGAATCACATCTTTTACAGACGGAACCAGATCACGGATTTTATGTAATGTGTTGAAACGGACCTGGATCTTGTGTTTATTCAAGATTTTGGAGATCTTTTTTGTGATCCCAGCAATGTAGGGTAAAGTGATGGTTTTGAAAGGCTCCTCAAGAGGGTTCTTCTTCATGGTTTGAGTGATAGCTTTGCGGATTGTATAGTCGGAGTAACCATTAGCCCTAAGAGCTTGGTGTACGTGCTTGAGTTCACTGCTTATGTGTTCCTAGTCGGATATGCATTGGGCTCTATGATACAGAGTCTTGATGAGAGAATTCTTCTGTGATGGATGGTGGTGGGAATCCGGTTTCAGATAAGCATCCGTATGGGTAGCTTTCCTGTAGACAGAGTGGCTCATTGAACCATCAGGTCTCTTTTTAATTAGGACATCCAAAAAAGGTATCTTGCCATCTATTTCGACTTCCATGGTAAATCTGATGGCTGGGTGTATGGAATTGATGTGGTCGAAGAATTGGTCTAGAGCAGGCCGGCCATGTGGCCAGATGACAAAAGTGTCATCCACGTACCTCTTCCATAAGGTTGGGCGCAGAGTGGCAGTCTGGATGGCGTCAGTCTCAA